AGGGTCCCCTTTCTTTCTCTCACGCTTCTTTTCAAGTCCCAAAGCCCCTGAGGGATGGCTTTCTTGTCAAAGCTCCTCCTGGGCAAGCACAGGGTCTTCTCTACCATCCCCTTACATGCTCAAGGACAATCCTTCCTTCCAAGACCGGTCAGTTTGGTACCAGTCACCTTCCTGGGTGTCCCAGAGCCCAGGAGAAGTAAGATGGTGTCCCCTCTGCACAAGCACCCAGGACCCCGCAGCGCTTGTCACAGGAACAGGGGCTTTCTCCAGGGGCCTGCAGCCACAAGCTTGCACGTCTCAGAGGCCGGACCCAAACTGGTGGAGTGCCAGCACCTTGATTTGACCAGTTTAAAAACATTGAAGGTGTCTTGAACATGTCTTCACCTCTGGTTTGGTGCTGCCCATTCCCCTTCCCTCCCTCCCTCCCTCCCACGTGGTGCTGGATGTTCCTCAGAGGCTCAAGTAGTTGAGGTTGGGGTTTCCCACTGTACGTCTGAGCAGAGCTTGGAGGAACTGAAGACCACAGAGCTCCTGCAGCTTTCCTGTGAGTCCAGCTCTGTCCTCGTACTGCTCCAGACTTCCCTTAGGTGCCATTTCAGGGGAAAAAGAGCGAGCAGATGCTGCAAGTCAACTCTGCTGAAGGCCCCTGACCTATGTGGTGGTGGAAGGGGAGGTCCTGGATGGAGGAGGACGCTCTAGGCGACCCCCTCACCCCTTGTTAGCTCTGATTTAAAGCAGCACCGGTGCTTTTGCTTGATAAGGATCTACCAAGTGCTCTATCTGCTTTGTACTTTTATTTAAGCGAGATGTATTCTTGTCTCCGGCATGTCTTCCTCCTCGTGTTGTACAGCACGTAGGGACAGGTGTGATGGACCTGACTTTATTTTGCCACGAGTTGGGTTTTTTGAAAGGGAGGTGGTCAATAAATAAGGAATACTTTTGGCTGGATCTTGCCTACTGGTTTATTTTCTCTCCCTCCCTGTTCTGGGGGAGTTTGGCCATCGGTTCTCCCAGCAGTGCAGGTGCTCGTGCTCTTCGTGTTGACTTGGTCTTGGGGCTGGTTTGAAATGACACCAGTAACATCTTTTCTGTTTTCTTTTGTTTATTACATAATTTAAACATTTTGCTGATAAATTTTTTTTTTTTTTTTTGTCAATGACCGTTGGTTTTTTTTGCATATAGCAACAGAAAGGAAAAAAACCAAACCAAACCAACCCAACTTGGGCTCCAAAACTTTTGACAAAGGTGAAATCAGTGGCATGGCAACTTCAACCCCTTTCCCTCCCTCCAATTTAATTTCTTCTTTTTTTTCCAAAAGGCGTTTGAAGTTCATTTCTCTTTCAGCAAATCGCACTGTTTAAAAGTGGAGCTTCAAAGCCCCAAACCCACCAGCTTCTTCCCACCCCTCCCCTGCACCCTGGAAGCTCCTGGTCCTCACCTCCCCAGCAATCTCATGGACCTTCAGGGATGCCGATTTTATTTTATTTTTTTCCCCCCCATCCCCACCCAAAGACGTTTTCCAAACCAGTCCCAGAGCTGAACGACCTGTTACAAACCCCCCTGGCCCACCCTCCCCGTACTGTGAGCTTTACTGAGCAGATACACGAAGGTGTAGGTAAGACTGGTAAGACAGAACGTCCTCATCACCCGTACCACCACGCTGCGTCTCTAAGGCATGCCGACCCAACCGCGGCGGGGTGGGAAGCCGGTTGGCTTCCTCTGTGACCCATCTCGCGTACCTGAGGGCAGGAGGGTCTGAGATGGCTTCTCGGACGTGCCGCCTTCCTTCCTTCTCCATCTCCTTTGGTTTGTTTCCCCTTGTCTTTTCCCCAGTTGAAACCCACTGTCCTTCCTCCCCCTTCAAAGAGGCGTCGCTCCCCCGGGAGGTTAAAATCGCTCTCTACGTATGTGTGTGTGGAGGGGTTTTGGAGGCTGGTTGCTACCGTTGCTTTTTCTCCTCTGGCTTGGAGCTAAGAAACACGAGTGATGTCTGGCGAGGAGAGGAGGCTGCTGCCTGAAACAACTTCTGTGTTGGGGTGGAGAGGGAAGAGACTGTAAAACTGAACACACAGTAACAATGGATGGAAGAGGCATCTAGCTAGTGGCTTGGGTGTCTCATGGATGAGATGTCCCACCACCAGCATCTGCCCGGCCTGCTAGCTAAGGGGTTTAGTGAGCAGCTTGAATGGCTGAAGACCTCCCTGGAGAAGAGGTGTCCCTGCACGCTGAGTCCTGCATGCTCTTGCCACCCTCTCTGCTTTGGCATCTCTGTGTATCCCCACCCCACGGGATACGTACGCAACTGCCCAGAGATACCATGAGGCTTTGAGCAACCTGGTGTAGTGGAAGGCGTCCCTGCCCATGGCAGGGGGCTTGGAACTAGATGGTCTTGAAGGTCCCTTCCAACCCAAACCATTCTGATTCTATGACCAGAGCTGCAGCTGAGGGATTCAGCTGCCAAATTTACAATAGTTCCTGAGCAAGCATCTCTATGTGGAGGGAAATCCCTGGCAAGGAAAGACCTCATCTGGCCTTTGGGTAAGTCACATCACTTCTGTCTCTCTTGCTTTCCTTTCTGGGATGGGCTGTGCCCTCCTCGAGAAGTCATTAGCTACTGCTCGTAAAACCCTGCCCGCTGCAAGGAGCCTGTGGCTGGGGGCTTCCTGGTTTTGGCCAATGTTGCTTGAGCAGCACCCAGCAGGTCAACAAATTTAGTGCAATGTCCCATCTTTGGAGCTTCCATGACAGTGGCTTGTGACCCTTCATAGATGTTTAAGGGGGGGTGGTGGGGAAAAGGCAATTTCAGATCTTTCCCTGAAACACCCTGGAGGACTCTCAGCCTTCGGGTGCCTCAATGCAACACTGTTGCTTGCTGAGGAGCAGCAGGTAGTCACAGCGCTGCCTTGGGCAAGCCACGAAGCCAGCATGGGCAACAGTTGTGCCTTGGTGGGATTGGTTCTAGCCTGAGCCTAGTCAGCCCAAATTTGTGGGGAGTGGGCAGATGTCCAGGAGCAGCTACAGGCAATGGGGCTACACCCAAAGGTATGCAAGGTTAGACGGAGCGAAGGGAGAGGAAAAAGTGAGGAGCAAAGCAGGATTATACCTTCCTCCCTGGGGCTGTGACCTTTCCCAGGGGCTCTGCAGGGTCCTCACACCCTGGGGGTGCTCTGCGGGACAACGACCTGTTTCAGCAGCCACCTCTCCACGGGACTTGCGTAGTTTTCTTTTTTCTCCCTGTTACTGCCCGGGTTTTAACGTGAGCATCTCCACTAGGCTCCTTCCTGGGCATCTATGGGCACGTCACAGGCAGGAGAGCAGGAGCCTGGCATGGCCCAAGGGATGGGTAAAGTAGCCATAGCCCATTTGGGAGGGGGAAGGTATGGTGCATTTAATAAACTCTTCAAGGAGAGGAAGAGGGAAGGAGGAGAGGGAGAAGGGGGAAGTTTACAGACTGAAATGGAGATCTGGAGGCGAGAGGATGGGGATGAACCCAGCCCCCAGGAAGCTCAGCCATATCTGGGGCAAATTCTGACCAGAGGCTTTGGGTCACCACCTACTTCTTCCTCCCTCGTTTCTTGGCTTCGTAAACAGCAGGTCCCTTTTTAGGTGCTGTGGGCTGTCCCCCCCGATACTGGGTCGGAGCAGAGCGTCACCCCAACCCCACTTGTCTAGGGGGCGGCTTGGGGTGAGTTGGGTTCACTTGCAACCAGGGAAAGGTGAGACGTGACATTCCCCCTAGTAATGCTTTGGCAACAGTGCTTGCTCTGTTCCCCCTCGGAAATGTCCTCTCCATGACTTTTCAGGGCCAGGAGGAAGATTTTGCCAGCTGGGTTGTCCTACTGCTGGCCTGAGGAGGTCCACCTGCTGCGGGGCACTGAGCCAGTTGGGTTGCAACTGCCCACTGCCAACCAGAACTTGTTTGGTCATCATGTTGAGAGGTCCAAAGGGCTCACACTAAAACTATTTAAGAAAAAAAAGTCCACCTAGATTTATTGAGCTTGAGTACTGTAAGATGATGCAGAAGAGGAAGCCCCTGCTCTGAGCATGCTGGGAGGACGGACCGGGGGGACCATTTCCCAGTGACATGCTGGGAGGGGAGTGCTGGAGCTGCCTCCCCTCAAGCGCACCGAGCACACTGC